TGGGGTTCTGGGCTGTGGGGGGCTGTGGGTGGGGGGGCTTTTGCTCAGGTGGCTCTGCACTGCTGGCCCGGAGGTGTCTGGGCATGTTGGGCGTGTGCCCTCCCTTGCATGGGGTGCTCTCATTGTGGGTGTTGCTGTAATGGACTGGTCGGTCCTTTTGTGGGGGTGGGGGTGCGCTCTCGGTCATCGTGGTGCGCTGTCTGTGGCTGTTCGGGCACTCCTGGCTGATTGTCGCTGCTGGAGTTTGGTGGATTCTTTGGTTGGGGGGCTGGGTTTTGAGCTGGGGATCGGGTTAGGGGTCTGGACGATCTCTGGGGGGTTGGGTCGCTGGCCCGGGCTCTGGTTGGTCCTCAGGGCTATGTGCCGGTCCGTGGCCTGGGTCCCTGGTGGCTGCCTGGTTGGGGTCTGGGCTGTGGGTGGGTATTGGGCCTTTGGGGGCGACTGGGGGTGGGGCTGTTGCTCTGGTTCTCCCTGGATTGTTTGGATCTTTTGATCGGGGTTCCTGGTTGCGATGGCCAGCCCTTTGGCTGGGGTGGCTGCCGGGTTCTGGCAGGGGATCGGCTGTGGTTGTATGTGTGTGGTTGTTGGTAATGTGTGGCGGCGGTCGGGGGCGTGGCTTCACTTCTACGGGGTGCTGACTGGTCAGCCTGATGTGACATTCACGGTGGGGGGTGCTGTGTGTGTGGGGGGGTGCATAGGTGGCATGCCGGGGCCTCTCCGGGACTGTGGTGTGGGGCTTTAATTGGTGAGCTGGGCCGGCCTTCCTCGGCTGCTGCTCCCTGCTGCTCTGGCCCCCGGCCTGGGGCCGGCTTGCGGTCACTGTTGGGTGGGTGGGGCGCATGGACAGCCCGACAGAGGCTCTGTCGGGCTGTCTCTGTGTGCCTGTTTGTCTCAGGTTGGGTTTTAGGTGGTCCCCTCTCTTGGATCAGTTTTGGCCCCCCATTCGTGCTCCCCTCCGGTGGTGGGCCCCCTGGCGCCAGTGCATTGGTGGTTCTTAGCAGCTGGGGCTGGGTGGTGGGGTATGTGTGGGCCTGCCCTGGTGGCTGCCTGTGGGGGCCTGGGTGCCCTGGCTCTGTTGGGCCTCTGTTGGGGGTGGTATGACCTCGGGACTTGGTGTCCATGGCCGGATCCACTCTGGAGGGGCGGGTTGCCGGCGGGGCCTGTTGACTCGTCGCTACAGCCTCCTGAGGTTTCTGCATTGTGGTTGCTGGGGATCGCCCGGGGATTTCCTTTGCTTCTCTCTCTGGGGGGTGCAGGTGTCCCTGTTGGGGGACTCCCGGAGTTCCGGGCTTGGGGGGGCGCTGTGTGTCTGTGGTTCTGGTCTTCCCTGTGTTACCTTCGTGTCCTGTGTGGACGGGTTTATGGGTCCCCACATCCACTATTGAACATTTTTATGGAGAAACCTTATAGTGATAAGCATGCTCACACAGGTGTTTAGATTCAGGTGTTTATCAGATACACACTCAGTTGGGTTGTGGTGGCCATCAAATATATATTGTATTACCATGTACTGTATAAAATACTTTCTAATGATGTTATAAGTATCATTATATATTTTGTTTGTTGTTGTGGTTTCTCGGTTTTGTCGGGTTTTTTTTTCTTTCCGCAGGTCTACAGTCAGACTTCAATGATGTTGATTTGTGTTCTCTTTATCCCTCTCTCTCTCCTCTATTCCTATCTCCTTCTTTACATTTTAACTCTTCTCTCACTTTTCTGCTTTGTTATCTTCTTTGTTTTCCGTCCCCGTGTCCATTACATCTGAAACAAACCCAAAGCATATTCTAATAAAATTTAATTTATATATCAAGTGGAGCATTAAGGCCAGCCATAATGCTCTGCTTGTGAAAGTAAATCTGTTGGGCATCACTTTGACACTCAGACAATAATTCTAAGTGTCACAATGCCGGACAGGACAGGGGTGTGTGTGTGTGTGTGTGTGTGTGTGGGGGGGGGGGGGGGAGTTAAACTTAAAATGGCTTAATGACGTTTTGTTTTAACCAAATGTTGTTAGAAGTATTTTAATATATTTAAAAACAAAATCAGTTTTTGAAAGTGATCTATTTTGTTTTTTCCTGATATCTGAATATTGAGCAGCCTGCAAACTCTGACTTGCTCTGTCATTTTGTCTTTTGCCTGACTTAGAGAAAAGTACCTGAGCTTCCACCAACATTTAGTGACAAACCACACAACACAGTTAAGTTGGACTCGGCACAGCCAGTGCCATCTTTTTGGCAAGGACAAGCTGAGCAGCACAGAGATGCTCTGCCGTCGCTGGTTGGGTAAACAATGAGCAGGACTCCCTCTGTTGATCTAACGTTAAGTGCCTTAATCAGCTTGTGTGTGTGATTCTTCATTATTCTTTTTGACAGGCTGCCTCTGGCACCAAAAGAACGCCGTGTGGCTGAAGCTGAGTGCAAATACTTTAAAAGGTTTGATTTGTCAACTTTGTTGTCACTTTGTCACTTTGATTTTGAATTAATATAGACTCACATCTTTACAGATAAAATACATTTGTTTTAATGCTCATGCTTTTCTGTAAATATTAATATAGAATCTGTCACTGACGTCTCATTAGTTTATATTTTGCTCTTTAAATCCACATCAATTTCCCCAAAATGTGATTTTTGACATGCCAAGATGTCTCACATGTTCCCTTAAGTTTACAGTTTTTCTTGTGCGTTTTATTATTAAGTACAACTTTTTGGTGGTGGGATGCATCACAAACAATGATGAGTCCAGCTACAGGCAGGAGATGGAACACCTGGAGAGCTGTTGCAGGAAGAACAACCTCCACATCAATGTGAAGAAGATGAAGGAGATGATTGTGGACTTCAGAAGGAGCAAACACACCTATGCCCCCCCCCCCCCCAAAAAAAAAAAACAAAACAAAAAAAAAAACATAGGAGGATCTGCGGTGGATGTGGTCTCTAGTTACAAGTACTTGGGTGTGCAACTGAATGAAAACCTCATCTGGGGCAACAACACTTCCAGCCTGATCAAGAAAGCTCATCAGAGACTCTACTTCCTCAGGCGGTAGAGACGAGCTGGTCTGGGAAGCTCAGTCCTCACCTCCTTCTACAGGTGTGCAGTGGAGAGCATCCTGTGCTCAAGCATCAACGTGTGACATGGAGGCTGCACAGCTGCAGAAAGAAAAGCTTTGCAGAGAGTGGTGAAGGCTGCACAGAAGTCTGTTGGAGTCAGTCTCCCACCATTACAGACATCTACACCTCCAGATGCAAGAAGAGAGTCACCTGCATCATGAAGAACCCCACTCACCCAGCACACACACTTTTTGCCCGCTCCCCTCAGGAAGGAGGTTAAGGAGCATTAAGTGTAGAACCACTAGACTGAGGAACAGCTTCTACCCTGAAGCTGTTACACTCATGAATCTCTAACCAGAATAATCACTGTGAAAAACCACATCATGTTGCTGCTGATCTCATGCTGCTGATTTATTTGTCTGCTCACACAGACCCATGTTCTGTGTTGCTTGACGTGTAATTTTTAGACTACTAGTGCCTAGTGTATTCTTAGTTTAACATATTTCTTAGTTCATATCTTAGATCTTATTACTGTTTTTCTTTTACATTTTATACTTTTGTTGGATGTAACTGGGACACTGTGTACACAGTTTCGTTCCACCACATGTACCACCTATGATCTGAATGACAATAAAGAAACCTTGACCTTTTTTCATGTTTTTGTGACTTCAGAGAAGAGTTTCCAACCACTGATGGAGCTGATGGGGAAGAGCCCACTCACCACGCTGTGATGGTTCAGACAGACTACAGAGAGAGTGAAGTGCAGACAGACCCATACAGCCCCGAGTATGTGCTGAAACCTGGCACGTATCCCACTGAGCTCCTGCAACTGCGACCATTAACTTGGGGTACCAGATCTTCATTTCATACACACAAAACAAAATAATTCAACTTTGAAACCATTCAATAATTTCTCCTGGCTTTTTATTGGCATTCAGTGAGTCCATTCGTACATTGCATGCCTTACAATCGGCCGTTTTGCATTGACATTACCTTTCAGGTTGTGGTTTGCCAGCCGGCCCGGCTGAGGTGGAAATGATCAAGCAAGCACGAGCAAAACGAGCTGAAGAGGCCAGACTTCCTCCTCTTAGCGACTTGAGCCAGATCTACAAGAGGCGGCGGATGATGGAGGAGATGGAGGCCAAGAAATGGGTTGCCAGAGAGCAAGAAATCAAAAAGTGAGCAACTCAGTAGGTCCAGAAATACAGCGGAGAATTTGATGCATTTAAAACCGTTCCTTCTGGTGAAAACTCATAATAGGAAAAGTTTTTCAAAACATGAGTTAAATATGTATATTTACTTGAAACACTTTTTTTAATGGGGACACCAAATCTTACCATGTTTAGACATAAATTTTGTCCCATTTGACCATATCAAACTAAACATTGTAGTTGTGAATTGTCATTTTCTACTAAATTAAGTTAAGTTCTACGAGTATGTTTGAATTCATGACTGAATGTCTGTATCTCACAAAATTTTAATGAAACATCACAAACTGACCTGGTCTTTACATTATATACCAGAAACATATCTATCACTATAATAAAAATGAATGTTGAAGGTGAGTTTGTAAAATACTGACTGAATAAGCACACATCAGATCATCCATCTGTTGTCTTCACCCGCTTCTGCAGGGGTCACTGGTGCCCATGTCCGGCTGTCACTGCGAGAGGCGGGGACACCCTGAACAGGTCTCCAGTCCATCACTGGGACACATAGAGACAAACAACCATTCACTCTCTCACTCACACCTAGAGACAATTTAGAGTTACCAACCACACTCATCACCTGTTACTCCCAAGCTCCCTCCTTCTGTGTAAATAAATTTAATTATAAATTGTAGAGAAGTGCAGCAGGACATCAAAGGGTTAATCCTTCACTCAGCTCTGCAGCATGGAGCAGAAATGTACTTCTTGATCAATTACACTGAAACAACGGAACATAGAAGTTCTAAAAGAATTAAAAATAACTTTGAACACTTTTATATTTTGTGATTATGGTGATTTTACAATGTGACATACTTTGAATTTTAAGTTGGAAGACAAAAGTCGATCGGTGCATCTGGACAGCAAAGGATTAACCCTTCATGAAGCTGCTTCAGCAGGAGGAGAAATGTGGGAGTGGCAGAGAGCGCTGGCAGGTGGCAGAGAGCGGAGATCATGACAGGCTGCAGGAGGGAGCTTCTCCCTGCACCTGTGGGCTGCACACAGGTGCCAAATTATTTTAAATAATTTATTTTAAATAAACAATCCATGCCGATCGTGTGGCTCATCCATCAATCAGCCAGTTGTGTGTCATGTCCAGTCTTACTTTGAAAAACCGCGAAAGAGCGAGTCTGCGAAAGTCGAACCGCTAAGTAGCGAAGGAGCACTGTATTTACAGTGAAGATCAGGTCAGTATATACAGGCAGGGTCTGGGGCCTGTGAATGGAGGGAATGGGTTAGTTCCTGAAAGGCAATGTTTAAGCAGCAGACAGTAATATCTGAATCTTGGTTCATTAAGATGGTTTGGTCTAAGGCAGCAGGATGAGAAGGCTGAGTTTTCCAAACGTGAAGGTCCAGGTGAGTAGGAGGCAAGTGGTGGATGATGCAAACACAGTTGGGGAAGGAATGTCGGAGGTGAGTACCATACAGGAGGCTCGTTTGTCAGGTAGGTGATCCAGGAAGGTCGGACTCAGAACAGCAATTCTCTGAAAACACAAAAGTGAAACACAAGGTAAGTACATTAGCACTTAAACACAATAAAAGGCTGGAGGCACATGTACAGGTAGGATGATACTCCAGCAAGGAATGGAGCTCATCTGAAGCCTTAAGGTGCTGAGATGGTGTAGAGGAGAGGCAGCTAACTTGGGACCCGAAAGTCCCAGGTTCAATCCCCAGTCATTGCACATCTCGTGGTGTCTCTGAGCAGCACACCCCATCCCCAAATGCTCCCTGGGAACCTTCAGATGCCCACTGCGCCACCTGGGGGTGGATGGGTTAAATGCAGAGATCCAATTTTGCCATTGTATGGGAACATACAATGATGACAATACAGAACACATTATTATTATTATTATTATTAAGTAGTCCTGGAGCCAATCAGGGGAATGACCTCCAGCTGCAGCTGCTCACTAGCCCCACCCCTACACTTAGGAACCTGGGGGGAAAAAGACTGAAAACCCTACACTCATCTGTTTTTATAATTTAAAATGGACTCCTTTGCATTTCTGTGATGGTCAGGTCACAAGATTCTCGTCTTGCTGCGTTCAAGGACCAGCTGAGGCAAAGAGATGACGCTCAGAAAGCAATCGCAAATGAGAGGCTAAACCGCTTATTCAGAAAGTGCCAAAAAGAGAGAGAGGCCGAGTGTAAAAAAATCAATACTGATCACATCAGAGGTAAGATCACTGTGCTAGTAAGTTGTTTTTATTTGTCAAGAATCTCTAACACGCACACTTTTAACATTTAACTCTCCTGTTTTTCTATTGTCTAGCTCTAAGAGAATTGGAAGTGAGGAGGGCAAATGTGGAGGGAAAACCGAAGCGGCGTGACATTGTCACCGATTTTTGTTCCCTTCAGACCCACAAGAAAGTATTCCCCAGCATCATCGAGAAGAAGTACACATATGAAGGTCTGAATAAAAAGGCTTCTGAGCAAATTAAATGAACTGTTTCCAAAACAGGTTCAGATTATTATCAGGTCATAACTCAGATAGGTTTTAGGTAAAATTCAGTGCAAAAGTTATGAACAAATATTATCTTACCTGTTATAGATTGCACTTCGATTCTTTTCCACTTAAAGAAACTGAGCTTCATTTTGACTGGGTTGATGAGCTAATGGCTAGTCTGGCTGAAACCAAAATGGATTGCTGCCATTTTTAAACATCTTAATTCCCAAAAATATACAGACTCATGCAAGTGTTGTTTTAAAAACCCTTTATTTGCTGTAAATTTCCATCCATCCGTCCATTATCTTTTACACGCTTCTTCCATTTTGGGTCACGGGGGTCGCCGGTGCCCATGTCCAGCAATCACTGTGCGAGGGGCGGGGTACACCCTGGACGGGTCTCCAGTCCATCACAGGGACACATAGAGACAAACGAGACAAACAACCATTCACTCTCTCACTCACACCAAGAGACAATTTAGAGTTACCAATCAGCCTAACATGCATGTTTTTGGTCTGTGGGAGGAAACCGGAGTACCCGGAGAAAACCCACACATGCACGGAGAGAACATGCAAACTCCACCCATTGAACCAGGGACCTGCTCGCTGAGAGGCAGCGGCTCTACCAGTTGCGCCACCGTGCTGCCCATAAATTTCCTTTATATGTTTTTTTAATAAAAAAAAAAATCAAGTTATTTAAAAGCACAAACGGCAGTAGCAGCTAGCCAAAGCACTTGTAGTGAAGCCAGGGGCACTTTCAGCAGGAATACCAAGATATTACAGCTTAAGTAATCATGTTATGCAGAAATAATGACAATGTTAGTTTATTGAACAGCATTTCAATAAGCCTTGTAACATTTTTTAGATTGGAGTCTTTTAAGACGGCAACAGCCCACTTTTGTCTTGGTCTGTTCCGACTAAACAATCAGTCAGTCCAGTCAAAACAAACTCCGTTACTCCAAACAGAGGCCATTCAGAGAGCTATCTACAACAGATATTTATTCATAACCTTTATTTTGCTATCCTGATGCATGCTCAATAATCCAGGTAGAAAAATCCAAAAAAGTTCAATCTGATCCTCTGGACATTCAAAAAAAAAAAAAAAAAAAAAAAACAAAGCAAAAAAATATAGAAACGTTTCGTCTCTCCTCCAAGAGACTTCCTCAGTCTGAGGTGCTGTTTTCAGGTCAGTCTCTTAAATAGCACCTTCTCAGAGTGGATCAACCAGTTTTGCTGCTGACAACCAAAACCAGCTGCTCACATGCTCAAGAAGGACCATCAGCCTAACAATGGATCATTAGCACACTGATGGCTGTTTACTATTCACAGAGGGCTGAGTGATACTAGCAATCACAGCATTGTAAGAGGGGGACAGTTGAACCCGGAGGCCTCCACCCCTGTTTAATGATGGACGATTTCTTTTCACAAAGATGGCCTCCTTTACTCCTCTCTCAAACCATCGTTCCTCTCTGTCCAGGATGTGAACATCTTCATCCCT